AGTGGGGAGTGCAGGGGGAAGGGATGGGGTGCATAAAGCCTCCTCTCACAGAAACCTAACTTGCCAGAGTCCCCTCTGCTGAACACATGTGGCTGCCTATTTCCCCAAGTTCCAAGGATATTTACATCACCGGGTCACAGATGTTTTATATACAATTACAGGTGCGGGCCACCAAACCCCACAATGTGGAAGTTTTAGGTACCTTTATTGTGGTATCATCATTCTAGTCTACTACTATTGTTAGATTAATCTCTCTCTGCAGCTAATTTCTAAACTAAACTCCACATAGTAGGTCTCTGTGAAATAAAAACAGCACAGGCAATTCAACACTACCCACTGGTGGCCTTTGGACTTAAATCTTCTATAGACAACGGGGACTCCCGGAGTCCTGGGGGAGGAACTGGAGGAAAAGGAAGGGACCATGTGTAGGTAGCTCAGTTGGGTGAGTGTTTGTTGGACAAGGTTGAAGGCTCAGGGTGGAGGGCCTAGAACCTGTATGAAGGGTGTGTGTGTGTGTGGACTCGCTGGCCAGCCAGGCCAACCTGCATGGTGAGTTCCAGGCTAGTGAGAGATGAGAGGACTTGTCTCAGCAAAACCAAGGAGTAAGGTGCCTGAGGGATGATGCGTGACTTCTGGCCCTCCATATGCATTTGCGTGCACATGTGCATTCCCACACCATGTCATTGTAATGGAAGTTTTGGTTCCTCTAAAAACTCATGTTATGTAAATGTGTTTTTGTTTTAATCCCAAGTGTGGGGTTTTAGTTGGAATTCAGTTTGTCCATAGCTGATAACTGTCTCCTGTGGAGCATGGCTTTTGACAGCTGTTAACACTCTTCCTGTGCAGCACGGAGAGGGATGTGTTCTGGGGCTCAGAGGAGTAAAAACATGAGAGCTCAGAAAGTGTGGCCTGTGGTGTGGCCTGTGCTGTTGGTGCCTGGCATGTAGCAGCTTAGAGAGACCAGAGATGGACAGTGTGGTGGTTTGGAGCAGACAGATGGAGAGAGATGCTTTGGGGGCACAGCAGCTTGGAGGAGACTGCTGGATGCTCCTGCTGTTGACTGAGATTGGTATAGAGCTCTAAAGGAACCCCTCAACCCTAAACAGCTGGGAGAAGTAAAGGGGCCCCCTCCCCACTAACCTAAACCCCACATTCATTAGAGTTGGGACATGAAATCTACAAAATGGGATGAGGGTGGGATGTGAACTGGTAGAGGAGATGGGAATAATACAATGGACAGATGGGAAGCTCTGAAGAGAGCAAGGGTCATAGGTCAACTCGATGGGTGAGTGGCAGTATCAGATTCTAGAGTCCAAGAAGATGGAGATCCCAAGAGAAAAGTATGATTGCATTGGACATGTTACGTCTCCTTAGAAGGGTGATAGGCTAATTAACATACACTTTCAACTCCAGTTTTTGGGCTGGGTTTGTACAGTGCTACCTATCACTTTAGCCACACAGAGTGTGACCGTTTGAATGAAAATGGGTGCAGATATTGGAAGGGTTGGTCCCCAGGTGGTGGAACTGTTTGGGAAGGATTAGGAGGTGTGGTGTTGTTGGAGGAGTGTGTCACTGGGGTGATCTTTGAGGAAAGCTCACAGCATTCCCAGTTAGCTCTCTCTCTCTCTCTCTCTCTCTCTCTCTCTCTCTCTCTCTCTCTCATAAGCTCTAAGCTACTGCTCCAGTGTCCGCCTGCTGCCATGCTTCCAAGCGTGGTGGTCCACGACTCACCCTCCACAACTGTAAACAAGACTCAGGACATGTTTTCCTTATAAGTAATCTTGATCACAGTGTCTCTCCACAGCAACAGAACTAAGACACAAAGTATCCACTGACAGAAAGAAAGTTTCTTGTTGGTTCTTATTCCTCCAAAGGGTGAAGGTTTGGGGTGTTTCTGGCTGTGCTGCCATGGTTTATGGTCTCTGCCACCATCAACTCCAGCTCGCCTAAGCAGCTGTCTGCTGTCTCTGCCGTCACCCACTGTCCTGCTTAGCTGATTTCCTGGGATCCTGGCACTGAACATCAAGGCAGCTCTTTTCATGGCTGCAGGTTGCTAGTGTTGATCAAAATGGGGGAAGAGGAAATGGATGGATGGATCAGGTGGCCCTCGTCTACTACAAAAATGTGTGCTGAGCTGGGAGCAGATCACTTCCTATGACTCTCTCTGGGAAAGGAGAACCAGAGCTGTGGAGAAAATTTGACGGGTGATCAGGGCCAAGTGCTGCTTCCCTAGGAGGACATCCTAGGACATCACTAAGGATGGACCTTATGGCTTAAATGCCACCACTTCTCTCTATAAGCTAACAATATACAGGGTTCCAATTTCTTTCTCTCTTTTATTGTTTTTTTTTTCATTGTTTCTTCTTTTCTTTTCTTTTCTTTTGGTTTTTCGAGACAAGGTTTCTCGGTGTAGCGTTGGCCATCTTGGCCTCCCTTTATGCACCAGGCTGGCCTTGAACTCCCAGCGATCTGTCTGCCTCTGCCTCCTGGAGTGTTGGAATCACAGGTGTGTCACGGCACCTGGCCTAATTTCTTTCTCTGTAGAAGAGATCCTAGTTATCTTTATCTTGCTTGCATGCTTTTAGTGGAGAACCCCCTGTCCCAGGTGTCGTGAACATCTTAATAACTGAAACCACTCTGGAGGGAGACTCACAGGTCATGTGCACATGGACTAAATCAAATTGAATATGGGGAAATATACAATGCTGTGAAAATACAGTGCGCATGTGTGGTCATGAGTGCCCGTGTGCGCCCGTGTGTGTGTGTGTGTGTGTGTGTGTGTGTGTAAGCACATATGGCAGCCAGAGGAGCCGTAAGTGCTGGTCAGGTGTTCTCACTGATCTGGAACTCACGAAATAGGCTAGGCTTGACCTCCCTGCCGTCCCCACACGATGCTGGGATTACAAGTTGAGCTGCCACACCCGGCTTTTTCCACCCATTGCTTCTAGGACTTGAGCTCAAAACTATGTGCTTTCAAGACAAGCCCTGTAAGGACTGGGGGCAATCTCCCAGCCCCGCCCCCCCCAAAAAACTATGGTAATTGCTGACACCATAGTTCCTTTGGGGAAGGTGCTTCCTCTGTGTAGAAAAAACACTTTGGTTAGTAGTGGCAGGTAGTCAGGAAATCATGGGCTAGGAGATGGAAAATAGTGCCTACACAGAGAGGGAGGGAGAGGATGGGAGAGATGGCATTGTAAAAATGCAGGCAGTGGCAAGTTGTGGCTCCTGCTGAAGGAATGGGAGTTGGTAGGTGAACGCCATGGCGAAAAGGAGGGTGGGGTGGGGACAGCCATGAGCACTCCAGCCACAATGAAGGACTTTTCAGAGGAAGGAGTTCTAATTTTAGGGGTGTGTGTGCATGCAAGTGTGTGCACTTAATTTAAACCCACCTATTCCAAACCTTCAGAAAAACGTGCTTTGCAAACAAGCCAAGAAACGGGGTTGGTTTCGGGGGGAGAGGGAGAGAAAAAAAAAAGAGAGGGAGGGAAGGAGGAGGAAGAGGGAAGAGGGGGAGTGGGAGAGGGAGGAAAGGGAGAAGATTAGCAGGTGAGATGTGAGGAGGTCTTCAGTGCTCAGAGAAATGATTTTGATCTAGAAGTGACCCTGAGCCCGTGACCCCCCAACAGTACCTCAGTGAGGACTGGGCAAGAGACTTGAACCACTTTTAACAAGATCTGTGTGACAGAGTGACTCTGACAATGAAGTAGCCTATTCCCCCCACCTTTCGGAGACAGAACCTCACCCTGTAGCCCAGGTTGACCTAAAATCTGAAGTGCCCTGCCTCAGCCCCCCCAAGATCTGAGGATGACAGGTGCTAGGCTGGCACCCAGCTCCATCATAACCTAACTGTTCTTTTCTCTGTCAGGCTCTCACAGATCCCAAGCCGGCCTTTAATTTTCAAGTAGCCGAGGTCGGTCCTGAACACCTAGTTCCCCAGCCTCCGTTCTCCTGAATGCTGGGGTTATAGGCATGAGCCACCATTCTCATTTCTGTGGCGCTGGGGGTCAAACTCATGGCTTTATGCATTCCAGGCGAGCCCTTTAACAGACGAAATGCATCCTCAGCCTTAATTTAAGAGGCATCAAGAGAAAATGTGAAGGCCGGTAAGTCACTTCCTCCTTTTTATTAATTTTTTATTTTCCTAATCTATAAAAGCTGGAGATTGGGCCTAGAACGCCTGTGGGGTTTCTATTACAGTTCTGGCATTATATTACTTTTGAGGTAAATTTACATACAGTAAAATGTTTTGTTCAGTTTTTTTTTTTTTTTTTTTTTGGCTTTGTTTTGGTGCACCCGGCAAAAATGTTCCGACAACTACAGACAATCCCCTTGACCTTTAGCAAGATACAGGACTTTGTAATCAGTACAGGTCAACGTCCCCCTCGGCCAAATTACTTTCAACGGCTAGGCAAATATTTTGACTTTTATCACGACCGGATTAACTAGTATCTGAAAGCTACAGTGAGGTGCCAGACTTTTATACTACTTCGTCAGTATAAAAAATGAATTTATTTTAAGCACAGGTTGTTAAGCCCGGGCCATATTACAGCAGCGATCTTGGAGAGTCTGCAGACATCTGCCTAAGACTCACTCATTATAGCTTCGAATTCCGTCGGGGTGGGTAGTGCGGAGCTCAGTGCCATCACGTGAGTCCTTACTATTGCTGAAAGAGGTGCTTAGTCCATCTTATGCAATGGCTCACTCTCACCCCACTCCCGGGAGGACGGCAAGACGAGTCGGCGAGGGCTGGTTCAGAGGCCACGTCCTCAGACCGAGAAGCCCCGCACACGCCCCGCCAAGAGTCCCAGGTTCCTGTTCCCGCTCGGTGAGGGCTCCGCTGCGCATCCTTCCCCACCGCTTCCCAGCGCTGACTCATTCTCTTCCTCCCCCTCCTCTTCCTCCCTCCCCCCGCTGCCATGGCAACCTTGCAGGCCGCGAACTAACGGACTTGGGGCGCCCCGCCCCGTGACAGCCCCGACCTTCAGGATTTCAGTGCTCACCCGAGGAAGCCGGGAGACCGGAGAGGACCCGGCGGCCACGCCCAGGTGAGCAGCCGCAGCCCACCAACACTAGGATGCTGGCTCGCAGGAGAAGCGCGAGAGCCGCGCGGACAGGCGCGCCGTGCGGCCGTGGGGCGTCTTGGGTCTTGTACTTCGATGGCTCGCCGCCTAGGCTGGGTGGCTCGCTGGGCAAGGACGACAGATCCCAGCGGTCAGGAGCGCAGCGAGGTACTGATGCGGAGGGAGCCGCCCTGAGGGCGTTGTTGCGGCTGCTGGTCGCTGAGTTGGGGCGGTGTCCGTGTTCGGGCGGGAGAAGGGCAGGTGAAGCTCAGGGCTGCACTGGGGACCCTCCATCCCCCTTCCATTCCCTCTCCATCGCCTCCTTGAGGAGCTTGGGCCTCCGAGGGCGCTGCCTCCCTGTGAAGAACCGTTTGTATGGCGCAAGGTCGATGCGACACCCAGCATACCTGTCATTAAAAGGGCTTTGCCTTTCCCCGTGTATTTCTAGACATTTCTGCTTATTCATTCATTCATTCATTCATTCATTCATTCATTCATTCATTCATTCATTCATTCATTCA